ATACATGATTAATTAAGAATTTTATAATCATAAATGATTAATTAGCAAATATTATATCATTAAATTTGTTTCCAACGGCTAGTTAACGGTCATTTTTGTAACTGTTATTTACCAATATCTATATATAACACTACAATTCATTTTCATAATCCAAACACTCAAAAATATATTTTCTTTATAAGAACAAAAAAAATGTTTGATCCATTACTTATAATTACCATTATCTTGTTTATTATATACGTTTTGCTAATTTTCAAGATGATGTATCGTACTGTTGGATTTAAATTTTATGTATTAGGTCTTTGTATAATGTGTTTAGTATTTGCTCTTTTGTATGTATTGAAGAATTAATGATTGTATATGTAATTTTTCGAATCTAAGCATTGATGTTTTATTTTATAGTTATCATGGCAAATCTGGTCAAACTCGAATTCGGAGCTCTCGATATATCCGGAAAAAATTATATCTCATGGACATTGGATGCCGAAATTCATTTGGCGGCAAAGGGATTAGAAAAAACAATAATATCCCCAAATGATTCATCAATACAGGATAAAGCTAAAGCAATGATATTTCTGAGGCATCATTTGAATGAGGCTTTGAAAAATAAATATTTAACTGTTAAAGATCCTGCGGATCTATGGAAAGCCTTGAAAGAAAGGTATGATCACCAGAAAACGGTGATTCTCCCCCGGGCTCGTTACGAATGGATGCATTTACGTTTCCAAGATTTCAAATCTGTTAACGAGTACAATTCGGCCATGTTCCGCATTTGTTCGGTGTTAAAATTATGCGGAGAAAACATAACTGATTATGATATGCTGGAAAAAACGTTGTCCACGTTCCACGCTTCAAATGTACTATTGCAGCAACAATACAGAGCAAAAGGCTTTGTAAAATATTCTGAGTTGATTTCTTGTTTGCTGTTGGCTGAACAAAATAACGAGTTGTTGATGAAGAATCATGAATCTAGACCCACGGGGTCTACTGCGATCCCTGAAATAAATGTTGTAATATCTAAACAGGGAACTAGAACTGAAAACAGCCAGACATATGTGCGTGGAAATACCTCGGGACGTGGCCAGGGTCGTGGACGTGGACGTGGCCGTGGCCGTGGATATGGCCCAGATCGCCGATTTG